GTAACTCGATTGGACTTGGATATATATTTTTGTTACGTCTGGGATTGAAAATTCCTACCTCAGTTAACTTGCCACTTTATTTATACTGTATCGTTTGGCTTTGAACAACTATAAAGCAACAATGTCTGAAGACAGGTACAATAGGTACACAAAATACAGCTCTTTCTACAACTAAGTTTTTCGGCATAAAAATGTTTAGCAAATAATTCGGTCTGAATTGACGAACGATCTCGATATTTTTTTTCTTTAATTAATCCTTTAATGTCCTGGCAATGATAGCGCAGAGACATGATTGTCTCATAATTGGGAATTGCTGCGACAGGCATATTTCAGTGCATATACCACCGAGAGTGCTTTAGTATGTCTGTTTTAGTATCAAGATACTGCATGTGTCTGTTTTCTGTGTGTGTATTTGATTTATACTTGTTTTCTGTATTGTTTTGTCTGTTTAATGTGCTTACTAACATATTTGTAAAGATGTTTTGTATTTTTATTTTTGTATTTTGTTACTAACACAGTGGCCCTTTGATGTTTGGTTGTCTAGATGAGTTGTCTGACGGTGTAAATAAAAGTTCGACTCACGTATCACCAGGTTTATTTGATGGATCCGACACGTGTAGTACAGAAGGCACAGTAGGAAAGTCACAAGCACGGCACAGAGATAACGAGAAGACAGTCAGTATATAAAAGTAGTAAGGAATAGGTAGAACTAAGGTAATTTTTATAGGTTTTAGAAAGTGAAAGAATTGTCCACGCGCGTCGTAGCAAAATCTCGGCAAGACGGGTTTGACAGATATGCGCACACGCATCGGTAAGCGATCATCAGTAGCTATTGATAGTTATAACTATATTGGTAATTAGTGATGAGGGCTCTGTCGATAGGATTACAATTATCGACTATCGATGGAATTTTTATCGACCAACTGGTAAGGAAGTGTTATGCATTCCGTACAAAAATGTAAATATATATATAAATGTATGTAGGTGTATGTGTATAGATTTGTACGGTTACCTACAGATGTCTTAAATAAATAAATGATTGATTGATTGATTAAACTTTCTCCCGCATTAGCATTTTCTCCTATGTCGTGAGTGCGTTTACAAACATACAAGTTCACACACACATCACACCCAGACCCGGAACAACAATTTGTTGATCACAATGGTGTATAATTAAATTGGATCACTGACTATGTAATCACATATAAAAACTCTAGATAAGTGGGTGTTAAATATACATTATGTGTAGGTATCTAAGCCTTATTCTTCGGGGAATATATAAGACGCAATATATGTAGAAGACATAATATATAACTTATATGACGTAATATCACGCCCACTTTACATGTACTTACTTAGGATTTGAGGATACTACCTCTATTTATATTAAAACGTAACATATCAGAATATTTCGTTATGCATTAGTTAAACATAGCGTAAAATAATTTATCAACTTCATAATCTCCAGTTTTCCTGTCGTAATGTAATCTGTTGTGATTAAGATACTGATGAAAAAGACAATCCTTTTATTTACTCGTTTGTCTGTAAATGAGATTGCAATTATGCATAGTACTTAAAGATGTGGCAGTTTTTATAATGGCAGGTATTAGTAACATACTCTGTCGCATGATAGGTATGGTACGGAGGTTATAATGTACCAGGAAGAAAACAACGTATTTAAATGACTATGCCAATTTTCGTATCAATTATTTCTCATTTATTTGTTTATTCATGTTAGTTTGTCCATATGTGTGTTTTTAATTGCATACATTTGCGTGCATTTTTTATGGAATATGGGTTGATAGCAGACGGAACTTCGGATGGTAAGCCATTATCGCTGCCCATAGCATGGGCACAGACCTATAGACCAGAGCAATCAAAAAGGTTTTGTTAAAAAGTCTTTATGATACCTAATGGAATAACAGAAATCTATTATTTTCAATACTCAATGATTTAAATTACAAATCGTCTACTATATACTGTCAGTTTCTTAAAATGTACTATTGAATATTTCATAAAATGCACTAGTAGGTATGTTAATTTTCATTATAAGTTCGTTGCACGCTTTCGCCCACGGAACTTAGCACTTTTATTAACGACCTTTAAGAAAGGAGGACGCCTAAAGGTCAGCGTATTCTTTAGTTGTCGTTTCTAACACTCGATTCGGATATTTGTTAATGGGTATAACTGATTATATTATTATTCGTGTTACATTGTATAAACTTCAAAAGTTTAAGTTGCTGATCTAAGGTATCAATCAATATTATGTATGTAAATCAATGCAACTGATGCAATTACTGTTAGTTTGAATCTGTATTCAAATGAATTACTTCGGGATTTTTATAGCAAATACCTAATATAATAGATAAATTAAGCTTTGGTCTATCGGGATACACAATAGAAAAAACATCGTGTCTCGCGTACAGTCAAAGTATTTTAAACAAACCATAATTTGATACTTTTGAAATGTCAACGAATACAAAATAAATAATACTTTGTTAGCCTATCCGTTAGTGAAGCTAGGTGCTTGTTCCTAAATGTAGATTCGAATGGACAAGAACGGGTAAGTAACAAAATCTATATCTATACTTCTATACTAATATTATAAAGAGGAAAGATTTGTACCTATTTTTGTATGTTTGTATGTTTGTAATGAATAGGCTAAGAATAAAGAACTATTAGTAGATATAGTTCTTTATTCAA